GGTATATCCATTTACAAGTCCATTCCCAGACCATCCATGGGACTGACATACATTGACCATCGACCCCTTTTCAACCACCGCAACTGGACCGGTAAATATGCCAGTCCCATGGAGGGTTTGGGATTCTTCTCGTCACTACAAGGAGGCGCGGCATAGGCATAGGAGAAAATTCGGTTCGTGTTCTCTCGAGTTTCAGCTCTCCAAGGCAATTCTTCAGCTCTCCAAGGCTCGTGGTTCAGTTCGGTCGCCGCCATTTTTTTTGCGGGTGCGTGCTTCCTCTAAGGCTTCCAGGCTTCCCCAGATCTTTCGTTCGTTCTGGAGCGGCGCTGGGCTGACCTGTGTGGTGTGGGCTGACCTTGGAAGGCTGAGCGGAAGAGCCCATCGTTTCATTGGAAGTTTCTCGATGAAGAGATGAGGAGAGATGTGCATGCCATATTCAAGAGACTCATTGCCATTAATGTAGACTCTTTATTAATAACCCCTCCATATGAAAAGGATGTCCAATTCAAACGGGGGTGTTTATGAATCAAGAGTCTACATTACTAATCCGATGGGTTTTTAAGTTTGGTCACTTAACTACCACTGGATCAGGGTGGATATGTAAACCTGTAAGCCCCCAATGCTGGCTCACTCTACAAAACATACGTGCTTTATGCCCGATGAGTTGACAGATGTTTGCTGGCTGTCCTTCGATTCTGACATGATGTCTCAAGCCTCATATTAACTGAACCTTTCGCATCCCAGAAATGCTGGTGGCAAAATGTGCGCCAGTCTTGAAGTAATTCATGCTCATCATCACACTTGAAATAAGATATTTATATATATTATGTTATGTGGATTCTAGTGTTGCTGAACTCCCAAACCCCACAAACTCACTACGCGGAGTGTTTTTCATGTTCATGGACGTCTTTTTCGCCTGGGGCTGCCTCCAATTCAGTGTTTGGGTTGAGGGTCAGCCAGCTCTTTGGAGACTGTTGGAGCACAGCGGTGCGAATTGTAAGGATGTCCAGACCCGATCTGGGTGTGTAGCTCCGGGAGATCCACGGTTCGGCGTTCCGAACGACCCCCAGTCTCGGAAGGTTCGGACACTTCTGACCCCGTCGATCCCAGCGAAAGGGCGAGAAGGGGTGATGTTTCCTATGAAAGGACCGTGGCTTCCATCCCTTTTTCACCCAACTATCTCCGCCCCAGCGATGTCACTGCAGGGCCCCGACTTCTTGGCCAGCCTCCGCCGCTTGCGTCCAGAGTCGGGGCATGAGGGGTGTCCAGCCAGCCAAGAAGAGTTACATTGGATGCCAAGAAAATTCTGGAACATATCAAAAGCATTGCAGTCTGGACTCGGTGGGACTCGGTGATGATGTAGGGCGATTGAACCATGCCGATCTCGGCACATCAGAAATGCACAAAAACATCATATATACTCGTTCATTATATGTAGGGTTTGTCCTATTACCTGTAACAGCAAGTAAATAATTATCATTTTGGGACAAGGCCTGTACTAACCATCGTCATCCACTGCATTGCAGTAGAAGGGGTCAAGAAGATCGACGTCCAGCCTCTAAGCACCTAAGCCCCTAAGCGCGTAAGCCCAAGCAAAGCAATGTCAAGCGCCTAAGCCCCTAAGCACCTAAGCCCAAGCAAAGCAATGTCAAGCGCCTGAGCCAACAACAACAACAACAACAACTACTACTACTACTACATTCAGCCATTGAGGCTTAGAGGTGTTTGGGGGGCTTGGAGGCGCTTAGAGGCGTTTAGAGGCTTAGAGGCGTTTAGAGGCTTAGGGGCGTTTAGAGGCTTAGGTGCGTTTAGAGGCTTCGAGGTGTTTGGAGCCGCTACTACTACTACTACTACTACTGCTAACACCTACTACTACTACTACTACTGCCACCACCACTACTACTACTACATTGAGGCTTAGAGGCGTTTAGAGGCTTAGAGGCTTAAGAGGCTTAGGGGCGTGTACAGGCTTCGAGGCGTTTGGAGCCTCCACAACAACAACTGCTACTGCTACTACTACTACTACTATTGCTACTACTACTTCTACTACTACTACTACTTCTTCTTCTGTACTACTACTACTATTACTACTACTACCACTACTACTACTACTACTATTACTACTAGGAGTACTACTACTGCTACTACTACTACTACTACGACTACTACGACTACTACTACGATGACTACTACTACTACTACCACTGCCGACTAACTACTACTACTACTACCACTACTATACTACTACTACTAC